CTGCGGCCACTGAGCCAGCGTGCCCATCCCCACCTGTCATTCAGCACAGACCCAAAGGCAGCCCACTGGGAGGACAGCAGCTGCCATGTAGAACGTCAATTGTAGTAGTGAAAGGGACGATCCACAGGGTGCCACCAAAGAGGATGAGGACCCTCTGGGGTTTTACTGAAGACATACGGAGCCAAATTCCCCCCCGGCGTAAGCCCAGAGAAGTCGTAGGGTCCACCAGGGATAGACTTGGCCCAATATCCAGTCCCCTTTGAACCAGATTATCCAGCCACACGAGAGTTCTCCAGGAGAAGCCACTTTAACTAGGTCTCCTCGCTCTGTTGAGCTCAGTGCCGTGATTAGCACAGTCCTTCCCCACCTGCAGGGATCACACAAGCACTAGGGATGCACCTTCCCTCAGTGATTCATGATCTCGGGACACAGCTTCTCTCATTCTCTGGGAGCTGCTCTGTTCCCATACTACCGGGATTGCTGTTCTGCAGATGCGTGTGCTCCCCAGGTCCTGAGATTCCACACTGCTCTCCCAGCCCTGGTCGTTACAGTGCTGCCAAAGCTTATGGTTTCAAAACAAGTCCTGATTTGGTTGGGCTTCGTAAAGCTCCAGCTTCTGGAGTCATGTGATTAGGTGAAAATCTCAGCTGTAATTTTTTACAAGATGGGTTGTACAGAAAAGCTTGAAAATGTGACTCAAATGCAGCCCGAAAGCTCAGAAACAAAAAGCAAATTCCCCTGCCCGAGACATTTTACACATTTTCTAATAGTTTGTGATTTTTAAACCACTCTGATGCTTGTTGGGTCTTGATGCGTGATTTCTGAATGCTTGGGATTGGCAAGACTGGATTAATCTGAGTCAGGGAAATTCCACCCTTATCCCTAGCCCCTGCTGAGTGGGAATCTTGCAATTAGCCCAGTGGTGATCTCTCCTGAGCTGAGCAAACTGCAGAAGATACCCCTAAAAATGTTTCCATGCTTGCCAGCCCTGCTGGTTCTGTGGGCCAGGGCCCTGAGGCTTACACATTAAATATATAGAGATATACCTATCTCATAGAGCTGGAAGGGACCCTGAAAGGTCATTGTGTCCAGCCCCCTGCCTTCACTAGCAGGACCAAGTACTGATTTTGCCCCAGATCCCTAAGTGGCCCCCTCAAGGGCTGAACTCACAAACCTGGGTTTAGCAGGCCAATGCTCAAAACACTGAGCTATCCCTCCCCCCTTTAAAAACCATCTGTACCCACTGTTAGCCAACGCACGCCTGTATTCACACCCTACACATGACTGGAATAGTCTTTGCACAAAATATGCCTTGGGAGGTATCATTCGAACACTAGTAACTCACTGGTCAATAATCTCAACTCAGGATTGAATAAGGACTGGGAATGGCTGAGCCATTACAAACATTGAATCTATCTCCCCTTGTAAGTATTCTCACACTTCTTATCGAACTGTCTGTACTGGGCTATCTTGATTATCACTTCAAAAGTTTTTTTCTCTTACTTAATTGGCCTCTCAGAGTTGGTAAGACAACTCCCACCTGTTCATGCTCTCTGTATGTGTGTATATATATCTCCTCAATATATGTTCCACTCTATATGCATCCGAAGAAGTGGGCTGCAGTCCACGAAAGCTTATGCGCTAATAAATTTGTTAGTCTCTAAGGTGCCACAAGTACTCCTGTTCTTTTTGCGGATACAGACTAACACGGCTGCTACTCTGAAATCTCAACAATGTACATAGCAACCTTATGTGTAAAGTTCTGACATCCCCCTGTGTGATGTTGAAGGCACATGTTCAAACCTGCATAGCCCTGACTAGGTGGAACTGGTCAAGTAGGCCTGGCTTAAACAAAGGGATGTGTATTTACCTCAGTTTGCACATACGCTGTAAACAGAGTCTTCAGACAGTGAGAGGGGGAGAAAGAGGACATAGAAAATCTGCATTTCAGAATCCACAGGTGAAAAGAAACAGCATAACACCTCTTTCCTCTTTTCCTCCAGATGCCCTGTCTCCATGCTCCCAACTGGAAAGAACTTTAACTAGGGGGCACGCTCAGGAAAACACTTTTCAAAGGGTGACAGGACTACAAAAGCGAGAGGCTAAACATCCCTGGGTCTCCCTCCCTACCCACCTCTCTCTAAGACAAGAGACGTTGGGCTTTGGGAGCAGATCCTGGCCTGAGAGTTCGGTCAACAATGCTACTGGAAAGCTCTGGTAAGAATTTCACCTTGAACCACGTCTAGTTTGTCACGGTTAGTACTAGGAAGCGTTTTGAGCTTTATTTCTCTTGTAAGCATTTCTGACTTTAATGCCTTATACTTGCACTCACTTAACACTTAGCTCTTTGGACTTCAGTAAACTTGTTTGATTCTCTAAACAAACCTAATCCAGTGTTGTGTGACCTGCGTGGGGAACTCCGCTGAAGGCAGCAAGCTGTCGTGTACTGATCTCCTTAGAGGGGCAAGGGACTGTCTGGGAGGGGGGTTGACAGTGCAGAACACACGCCTTGGGGAGATGATTCGGGACTGGGCCTGTGTTGGGGTCACCCTGCAGGGAGTAATCAAGGCTGCTGGAAGCCAGAGTGTGGCTGATGTGCTGCTGACAGGCTGCTGGGGTCACAGCTGCTGGACCAGGGCTCTGGCTATACACAGACATTCAGGACATGAGGAGCTCAGGTTGGGAGTTACAGCAGCAAAGCACTGTGAGGCCCCTTAGGAGCAGGGTGGGGGTGATGCAGCCCCTCACTGGTCTGGATTGCACCCTGGAACGTCATGACCATGTTATCTCCACAGCCACAATCCCCCTGGAAACTTGATCTTGGTTTAGAACCGATCTCCGCGGCCAAGCCTGCCATGTGTGGGACTGGGGCAGAGCACGGCGCTGGCCTGGCTGTGTGCACGAGATCACAGAGTGTTATAAACCAGCGTGGAATCGACGATGATTTTCACAGCACATCCCTACTACCCTGTTTCCCCGAAAATAAGACAGTGTCTTATATTAATTTTTGCTCCCAAAGATGCGCTAGGTCTTATTTTCAGGGGATGTCTTATTTTTCAATGAAGAAGAATACGGTACACATCGGTGGATGCCTTATTATCGGGGAGGTCTTATTATCGGGGGGATGCCTTATATTACAACGAGAGGCAAAACTGTAAGTAGGCCTTATTTTCGGAGGATGTCTTATTTTCGGGGAAACAGGGTACAAAGCTACCCTGTGCCTTGCTAGATATCCACTTAGTCCGACCCTTCAGCAAAGCCACAGTTCCAGCTCTGCTATCTGCTCTTCCAGTCTCATTCTTCAAGAGAGCTAACAGCTCTGGCTCGCTCCCCTTAGCTCGTTTAGTTTCTTTGGTGTGTATTTCTGTTAATTCGCTCACAACATTCGTCCCTTTCAAATCCTTGCTCATCCTGAATTGTACGTTTCCCTCCTACTGTTGCTTTACTCTTTGGCCTCAACACTTGCAAGATTTTATGAGGGTGAATAAACGCAGCTGGGGGCTTTCCCAAGCATCTCACTTCTCCAGAGGCAGTTACTGTAGAGAGAGGATTTATCCCAATCCATGGAATTTGGCCAAATTCCCAATTTCTTTACAGTCTCCGTTTTCAAAGGCTCGTACGTTATTTTCATCTCCCCTTTTCCCTCTCCCCTCCCTGCGCTGCCTGGGACCTTTACAACCCAAAGCGAGCCAAATAAAACTGGGGTTTGCACTTTTCTAACATTTGTTTTGAGTTTTCTCTTTCCTAATCCCAGCAACCCTTCAAGCTATATCCTCTGCAAAACTCCAGCTCTCAGCATTCTGGCTGCAGCCGCCCGAGTTTGATTTGACTGAGTAATCAAAAGATGTTTTACACCAAACACAACCGGCCGGATCAGCCTCCCTCCCAAGCCGTCCCACTGGGTGGGGCATGCGCTGATTCACGCCAGCTGAGGATCCGGCCCCCTGCATCTCCCGGCACTAAGCGCTCATGTCAATCATCCCCAGCCCAACACTGGAATGGGAGAGGGGCCCTGAGCAGCGTTGCATAGCCCAGGAAACCCCTAACAGCTGTTCAACTGGCCTTGCACAGCATTTGCATTCTGGTCCCATATTGTATCTGAGAACTGAGATTTATCTGGTGAGTCACTGGGAAGCCTCAAACCACCCCTGTCCCAGGCCCAGGGGACAGGGTATCCTGCCCTCCTTTAGCTATTTTTCTGCAATTTGCTTTCTTACTTGCTAACTATGGGCCCGATCCAACTTCCATTGACGTCGCCCGACAGGCTCTCATTGATTTCAGTGGGTTTTGGATGAGGCCCAGGGAGCCCGATCCTGTGAGCTGCAGATTGCCCTTGGCGTCCACTAAAGCCAACGGCGCTGAGGGCACTACAGGAAGCACTCAGCGCTTGGCAGGATCTGGCTCTAACAGCAGCAGGCTCTAGACCTCAGGCTGCAGTCTCGGGCCCTGTGTGTGTGCCTGCCCGCCAGGAGACTTCACAGATAAGTCACTCTCCACTCGGCCACAGGGAGCACAGGCCTAGGGACAGCAGAGGTGGTGCCGGGTGAGCTTTCCCGGGCTGGCCAAGGGAGTGACTGGCTGAGATGGTGCAAACCGGAGAGCTGGGGAAGAGTGAGCCAGCGATGTGGGGGCCCCGGGGTGGGGGAAAAGTGAACGCAAAGCCTGGTTTCGCTCTGGGCTTTTCGCAGAGCCTGCGAGGGGCAATGGAGACACTTGTGGAGTTCCCACCGGCTGCGCGTTCCCGGTGCAAGAGCAGGACTCTGGCTATGTTCGCTGGGGACAGAGCGGCACCTGGCCTGGGGTCTAGCCCACCAGTGCCTGTGAAAGCGCAGCATGAAAACGGGGCGCTTGGCTCAGCTGGATTCAGGGCTAGTGTAAAGATCCAGCCGCGAGAAGGATGGGACGGAGCAGGAGAATACAGAATTAAACCAACCTGATCAGCCAAGCGCCCCGCACCCAGAGCCGCCCGCCCAGCGCGCAGGCAAGGAAGAGTCACTCACTTGTGCGTATCGGTGTGCAAGAGAGCAGCAGCGCTGCTAGGAACAGCCCGGCCTCCATGGGGTGGGAATGCCGACTCCCCGCTCTGCCTCTCTTCTCAGCCTCCCGGCTCTTCTTAGCCTGTGTCCAGAGGCAGGGGCCTCGCACCAGGAACCCCCGATGGGCTGCACGGTTTCGCTACAGGACCGAGGAGAAAAAGCCGGAGGGAGGGGAAGCGTCTCCACTCCAGCCTTAGGGAGTTTCAGAGCTCTCGGCGATGGAGAAGTGGCGGCGGCAGCAGAACCGGAGCCGATCGTCGTGGGCTGGCGAGGCGGCTGCACCCGGGCTGCTCCGCAGAGTGGATGTGCTGGGTAGGACTCCCAGTGCCTGAATGGGCAGCACTGACTCAATCCAGCCCTGATGACGCGGGCGGCAGGAAATGAACTCCCTTTAGAGGAGGGTCTGCCAAGCGATCGCCTGCCAAAGGAAGAGAGGAAATGCCGCTTTCAGAGGCCTGGAGCCTCTGCTGGAGGTCATGCTCTGACAGCCTGAAGGGAGCTGTGGCTCAAGACAGACGGAGAGCAAGGGAGGGCGCCTTGCACTTTCGGTTCTCTCTGCAGGGAGGAGTGCAGCGGAGATGGGGCTCCCAGCACATCTGGAGCTCCTGGAAGTGGCTCCACTTCCTGGCCTCCTTGTGGGTCTGCATTTCCTTGTCTCCTGCCCTCAGCCAAGCCAGAACCGGCATGGCCACGCCGGGGGGTGATTGCTGGCTTCCTGGCCAGATTCTGCCTGGAGACAGATAGCTGGGTTTGTGAGCGTGCCCCAGTGCGGCTGCAGCATGTGTGTGGACACCACCCTGTTCTCAAGTCCCAGCCACTGAATCCTTCCTTTAGGATTCCCGAGAGGGAGTGTGGTGTAATGGTTAATACCCAGGCCTGGGAGTCTATTCCCAGCTCTGCCATTGACCTGCTGGATAACCTTGGGCAAGTCACGTCACTGCTCTGTGCCTCGGTTTCCCCCGTCAAATGGGGCTGCTAATCTCTGCCCGCCTCTCGGGGTGGTGGATCTAGAGGGCTCTGGATGGAAAGGGACAGAGACGGACAAAGCCTCTTCCTGCGGGGTCTCCCAGGGTCATTTCAGGGGGTCCGACGGGAGTTTGACGGGCTGTCTGAGAGGCCAAACGGGGAGTTCACATGCCCAAGCTCAACAATATGGGGCACAGTGTCTATGCAATGGAGAACACAGACACTGCAACCTCTCCAAGGGCATCCTCAGAGCCTGCCTAGCACAAGGACCTACAAGGGGGAGAGGAAGTTCCTCAGGCAAAGCAGTAACAGCATTAGAAGGAACGTTTCTCTAGGTTAGCAGCAGACCCCACCCCCTGGCAGGACTAGGTGTTCTCACTGGCGTACGGCCGATGGCACCACTCCATGTGTAGTGCTGAAGAAGTCAAAGGGCTGCTCCATACGACAATAGCAGCTGAGGCAGGGGACCCAGTTATAGTGCTGATGGGCTCTTAGCTGTGGTCTGTCCCTGGACATGGCCAAGGCTTTAGCCTGGCTCGGGAATACAGCGGAGGTCCTAGCTAGGCTACCGCATGGAACTGCCTTGCACCCAGGTCAGGGGACAAGCATGTTGTTACAAGCTATAATTGATGCCCAGGCGGGGTCTTAGTCCCATGGCCATTTGCGAGCGCAGGAGTGACTTGTTAAATGCTCACTAAGGACGTTGCTAAAGAGCTATTGTTGATATAACAATGGGACTTCATGACCTCAGACGCCAAGGTTCCATAGTAGCTGGGGGAGGGAATCTCCGTTTCTGGTGGACTTCGTTCCCCTATCAGGCCATCCCAGCAGATCCTTCCAAAAATGTGTTGTTTTTCTCCCCAGCTGTTAGAATGTACCAAAGGAGAAGAATGGTTGTAACTTCTCACTGGAAGGCTCTGGGTGAGCCCCAAGGATCGGTCCCCCAGGCTGGGAGGCTTTGGCAAGGCAACGAATCCCACCCGAAGCAGAGATTCACCCCCACCCCACCTCCCCAGTGGACCCTGGCCCCCGACTCCAGTAAGTCCCAGCATAAGCAGGCTAAAGGAACCCCGTCTGCATGAAAGGGTGGCTAGCGCCACGGAAGGGCTGAAGGGCTCACAACAGCGGAGCACCAGGGATGTCCTGGGTGAGAGAAGGAGGAGGCTGGGACTTTGCCGGGTTGGGTCTTCACCTGGGGCAGGTCAGGGCTCTGTTTAGATCTCAGCTAGTGACATGCTGCTCTCGTAGTGTGTGATCACCCCCTCTGCGTCACTCTCCCACAGCCCTGCAGCAGCCTCTCAGCAACTCCTCCGCCCTTCTGCGCTGCCATCTTGGCCCTGTCAGGTAGTGCCACCATCTTCTATCGTCCTGCTCCTCAACCCACCACGCAACACGCCCCCTTCCCCCGATGGGCCCGGAGACTCCTGTCGGCAGCTTTTCTGAGGCGTTCCTGGCTCCCTCGACGACTCACTGGCCATCCATCTCTAGGCGGGCGGGGGACCAAGGGGCCCTTTTCCCAAGCAGGCATCCAGAGCCCACATTTGGCCGCTCACACCAGCTCAGAGGCCTCGGCAGGCACCTCCAGGAGAGAGGTGAGTTGTAGAACTGGGATCTGGATTTCGAACACCCCAAGGAAATCGGAGGCATGTTTGGCTCTGGGGAGGAGGGCCCACAGTTCCCAAAAGTGATTTCGGGTGCCCAATGGGAACGCCTGTTAAGGGACCTGATCCTCAGAGGGTAGATGCTCAGCACGTTCAGACCCTCAGGCCCCACTGAGGTGCCTCATGCTGGGCTCCCAAAAGTCACCCGTCGCTTTTGGAAATGTAGGCTGGGGTGTTCGGTTTGGGTCCGTTTCTTGATTTCACTCCCCTAGATGCCAACAGAAGCATCCAAGGGTAGGATCTGACATCCCAGGCTTGGAAAGTGGCCTGCGATGTCTTGGTAGAAACAGTTGGCCAGGGATCAAAGGCCAGAGCATCAGCAGCTGTTTAATGGCACATAAAATATTTGTGTAACTTGTGGGCGGGGAACGGGCGTCTCGAGGACTCAACAAACAGAGCGACTGGCTCGGATACAGGACTGAAACCAGAGAGAGGGGCCAGCCAGAAAGCTAATAGATCTAGCGGAGGAATGGGCCCAGCTGGCATAAATCAATACAGAACTAATACAGCCAACAAGCCACCCACTGAGCGCGAGACGGCAAAATACATGCCGGAGTTGGGATCCAAAGGGTGGGAGGCAGCGATTCCCTCGGCCTCTTTCGATGCCCCTCCCCTCTGCTTGGAACACCGGCTTCTTCCACCAGACCCTCCCTTAAAACACGGTCCACAAGGACTCCTCCAGTCTGGCCCTACATCCGGCGCGTAACGTGTCTGGTTGAGACTCAGAGCGTGTCTCTCTCCACGCTGCACAGCCTTGGGCATGCTGACAGTGCTTTCTCAATAGACTCCTTCCCCAGTGACTAGTCACTTCGGGAGGATCAAAGACGCAACAGAGACACACCCGGAACGGTGCAGCTCCTAGGACGCAGCTGCATTCCCCCCTCCCTGCTGTCTTTGGCCTTCTCTAGATTCGATCGACAGATCGATTTGGCCTTCTGGTCGGGGGGAGGGGAGTGCCCTTGCCCGCACACACAAATTTGTTATGATCAATTTTTCCCTGGAGAGTCTCCAGCTCATGTTACCCTGATTACAGGTTGGGATGGACCTCAATCAGAGCAAGCTCCGTGATTGTAGAATAAACAACAGGACAGAACTGCATTCAGAATGGGGGACACGGATTGCCATATGCCAGGACCCGGCTGATGGAAACGCCACCCTGCACCCTGTGACCGCCTTTTGTCCATCATTAACGTCTTCTTTACATGCTTCCATTCAGCTTTGGCTTTTCCAGTGGGTGATTCCTCCCCTGGAGATGCCGGGGAGCAGAGGGTGGTCGCCACCTTGCCGAGCTGGGTCTGTCGGCCTGAGAACTGTGATTCCAAGGTAACTGGGGATTGGTGCCTGGTTCGGCTGAACCACATCAATTTCTAGAGCGCCCATCAACCAGCACAACAAAGCTGGATTGCAGAAGCTTCGGCGTATGTAGCTGTGGTGAAACTTACGCTGGAGTGAGGAAACTCCCGCGCTCTTCACTGCCCTGCCATTTTTATGGCTGGGGACAATTTTTAATTTTCTATTTACGTTTGCTGTTGGGGGCAGTCTGGCTCCCTGCTGCTTGGGAGAAGCTCCCTCTCTTAGGCCTGTCTGCGTGCATTTTCGCTTCCAGGGCCCTTTGTTACCATCTCTCTCCCCTGCCCATCTGAACAGCAGCCACTGGGTCAGCAGCCACTGACCTCTGCCCCGTGTCAGAGCACAGTAACAAAGATCAGCCTCTTCCCAGCACTCCTGTCCCATACTACCACCGTCCAATATCCAGAGACTCTAGCCGTCGATTGTACTTATATGGCCCTGTTACCACAGTAACAGAGCACTCCACAATCTTTAATGTTTTTATCCTCACAACACCTGTATGAGGCAGGGCAGTGCTGTTATCCCCAGTTTACAGATGGGGAAACTGAGGCACAGAGCGACTAAGTGACTTGCCCAAGGTCACACAAGACGTCCGTAGGAGAGCAAGGAATTTATCACACGTGTCCTGAGTCCCAGGCTAGCCCCCATACTGCTGAGCCACCCTTCCTCTCCTCTTATAAAGTTTTGCCCCCTGGAGACAGAAGAATCAGTTCTCCTCTCACACCACTTTTACTCCAGTTTACCTCTGACTATACTGGAGTTACTCTTGAATTGCACCAGTGTATGAGAGGAGAATTGTGTCCAGAACGTATAGGTGGGAGCCCACCCAGCTCTGTTCCTGCCCCCGTTGGATGTGAAAGTCATTCTGGGCATTCACATTCGTACTCACTATTGTACAGCTGTGCTGATGACATTCGTAGAAGCGGACTCATTTTTAATAGGGTTTTAAATGGCAGTGTAGGTGGCAGTTTAAACGATTGGGGCTCTGTGGTGTGAAGGTTTGAGAAAGGGAAAATGCTCCCAAGTTTCCACTGTCCAAGCGATACAAAAATGTCATTGTGCCACCCCCTGGACACATCATATAGACACACACAGGACACACCACGCTGAGCGACACAGCACACAAGTGTCTAGAGGATGATCCATCACACACAGACACACACGCATCAATATGACGTCCCATCACACACACAGTGCACTGTACCAGTGCACACGCATAAGAGTGCATCAGGCATTGGCAAGAGGAGCAAGTTGGTCTAGGCTCTACGACTGGATGTGAAGGTCTGATTCTCCCTCGCTTTGCTCCTTGCATGGTCATTGACAGCTGCCGAAAGCCTGGCTATAACACTGATTTGCAGAGTTCAAGGGACTCAGGCCTT